AATCTTGAATTTTACTGATAAAAATAATTTTATATATGTCTTTTAAGTTCCCCCATCTAATTTTACAATGATAAGTCCTAGTATTATTTATTTTACAACTTTTCATCTTCAAATCTAGAACTAATAAATGATGTTAGGTACTTAAATCCTCGCTTGGAATGACCTTACAATCTTTAAATCTCGAGGATCTCTTCTTCTCATAAGAAAATAATCAATTTGTGTTTTATTAGATCCATTCTTATAAGTAATAAGATGCTCATCTCTTTCTTGAATAAAACATTAGTAATAAGAAAATCATATGCTGAAGCAAAATCTAAAATAGCTCTACTTTCTTCATTAATCACTCCAAAACCGTAGTCACCATGAATATTTCTAAAATCTTCTAACACTCAACCGACATGTCCATTTAAATCTCTTCCAATAAATTTTTTTTTTCAAGAGGTATCAATTATATTAAGTCTTCTAAGTCATTCCAGAATTTATCTTTAGACCCTCTATCTAAACTTACTTGAAGAGCATAAGCACTTATAATACTAAAAATTTTAGTACCAATGATAATCTTAAGGGCTATAATTATATCTTCAACTCTATTAATTTTTACAACATTATCTTTCAAATTCTTATCTATAATTACACCGACACCATTTCTAGTGCACCTCTTACCAGAATACCAAAGTTTAAAACCTAAGTTATCAATCTTCTTAGCCTTTTCTCCAACTCATTTAGTTTCTTGAATACAGAAGATATTAATCTTTCTATGAATCATAATATCTACTAATTTCATTAATTTACCATTGAGAGTACATATATTCCAAGATCATATCCTAATATTAATTTCATTAGTTTTATGGATTAATTTCATTGCCCGCATTCGTCTGTAAAGTGGGAACCCTTGTTTATTTGACACTACACCTGGGCGTCGGTGTAGCGGCCTTCGCACACTTTTCACTGTATTTAGGCTATACAACACGTCGTTTTCAGGAGACGCCCTAGCATTTACACAAAGATCAAAAAGATTCATGTCATGATTTCAGGAATTATGCCCTTTATCCTATCAAATGGAGAGTAATATGGATTTTCTGATCATTAAAAACATCTTCATATTGAAAATTTCATAAATCAATGTGTATGACTCAAATACATGTGAAATTCGAAACATATGCCAAAATTAAAATTAAACTTAAATAAATTTAATTTTTTTGAAAGAAAATTAATTTTTTTTATAATAAAGGTATAGACCACATTAATTATGAAAATAACAAAGAAAATTTGAAAAAATCCAAATAAACTTGAAGGCGTTTCGGATCAATCAACATGAGTTTAAAAGAGAAAGCCATGCATGAACAGAAGAATCATGCAAAGAAATTTATTTTGTTAATTTATTCTATTTTATATAAGGAGGAAAAAAAAGATTTAAACTTGCAAAATTTTGAAAAAGTATATTTTAATTTTGAAATTTTCCAGAAATGCATATAATCACACAAGATAATATAGATAATTAATATCGATAGAGTTTATGTGGGTATCAAGGAGTAGGAGCAATACAAAATCCTTGTCATATCTAATTTGGCTGAGAGCTACAGATGAAGTTTTGAAGTGATTGTGAACCTTACATTCTATAGTGGTTGATCATAAATATGACTTACGATGTAAAGAGAGGTGTGAGGAAAGTATAAGTTTAACGAAACCGTAATTAAGGAAAAAAATAGATGCATTATCTCACCAAAAAAAATATTTGAGTCACCAAACAACAAGTGAAAAAGAAGAGAAATACTCTTCTTAATTTTTTTTTTTTCATTCAATACTCAAATAATAAAAGTGTGAGCCCGCATTTAAGATATTATAAGACTCTTATGATAAAATTTTAAAAAGAAAAAATAGAAAAAAATTGAAGAAAAATGGGATTGGTAAGCATTAATGAAGGTGTTTTAAGTCACCATCTTTAACATTTTTTTCATGTTAAGTTCGACCAAGCACATGCTTAGGTGAGAAATAAAAAGAAAAGATAATATAATATAAATTATACTCCAAACAATCTGAATTATGGACTCTAATGATGGGGCTTGTTTTTTGGTTTCCTTCTTGCTTTAGCTATGATAATTGGAATTTTAACCTTTTTATATTTTTACTCAGATGATGTGCCACATTAACTTGTGATGGTGTTAGGTAGCCTTTTAACGGCAGCAAATGTTATAAATTAGTTTAATATGAGTGTAGGAGTTTGTGGTGGAATTATGAGAGTTTAGTAAGGTATGTTGGTAGGAATGCTAAAACAAGTTCATGTTGGGTTTGAAAGATCACTTGAAGGAATAATTTTTGTTGAGGTAATAAAAGGAAATGTTTATGGATGGTTAGCTTATGATGTGTTTATGTGATGGAGCAGATTCAGCAGAATTTATGAGAGCGTTGAGTAGAGAACAAACTTAGATCCTAGTCGTACTTAATTTAGTTTAGAGCTATAAGTAAGGTTTCAGAATAACTGTGAGGCTTAAGTTCAATGGTGGTTGATTTGGGAGGATGTTTAGGATGTGGGAAAAGCTGTGAGAAAAGTTGAGAGTAAGAGTTCAAGAGTAATAAGTAAATATACTAGGAATAAACAAATTTGAGCCACCAAGCACTAAGCTATAAGAAAAATAATCCCCTGTTCATATTTAATTTCATTTAATATCAAATGACATTATTTCAGCCTGTATTTATAAGTATTACAAAACTATTAGGCTAAAGACCATTTTGAGAAAAAAATAAGGAGATAAAAAATAAAGGTTAGTGGTTATTAATAAAGAACCGCCAGCCGGTCATTTTAATGCTTTCTTCGTATCAAGGCCAACAATACATATCCATAGGTGAGAAATTGAAATCAAAGAATAATAAAATATAAATTACAGTCCAAACATTCTAAATTATGGGCTATTGATTGGACTTTGGCTTAATTCTTTATCTTTTCATAGAGCTTTAGCCTTAGCTCTTACAATTAAATAATTAACTTAATTTTTTAATGTACATAATATGTTACATCAACATATAATGGCTTGGGAAACCTTTTAGTGAGATTAAGAGATAAAAATGTGAGTCCTAGAGCTTGTGCTAAAATGTGAGGGATTTAATAGGGCATTGTTGCATGAATGCCAACACTAGCAGGTCTGTTTGGGGCAGCTGCAGCTGTGAAGCTGTCGTTCAAAAACTTGTGGTGGCAGTTACAAAAATAAAAAAAAATTTGAAAAAATAAGATCACAGCTTTCTAGCAATCACCGCAGGTAGCCAGCCGTGATGGAAAAAAACAGCTTGCAGTTGCAACTTTTCAAAAATACAAACAAGACGAAGTTTTGCCAAATAGAAAAAACACCGATTCGACACCGCACCGCCACCTCAAACGCACCATAGATTCAAAAAGACTAAGACTTCTAGCTAAGCTAAGTATATGTTGTATACTTAAGTAGCATTTATAGGATTTCTAATTATTAACACAAGCTATAGACTGGAGTAGGCTTTCTAGCTAAGTCAATCCTAGGAATGAATCAAGAACTTGATATGAAAGAGATGAAAAGACCTGAATAATTTATAGAATTAGCTACAAAGTTGAAGCATATTAGCCTAGTTAAGTTCAAATGATCTAAAGCAAGCATGGATAACTCAACTCAGAGTAAAAAGCAACTTGAACTAGTAAGACCTAAGCATCAAATAGCTTTGAGGTTGTTTTTATATTTTATGACATCAGGGGCATTCGATTAGGCAAAGAAGTTGGAAAGCAACACGTGACAAATGAAAAAGCATACAGAAAGTGCATGGCAGTGTCCTAATGGCGAAAGTAAAGGATTATTAACTTTATTAAAAGTTCTGCCATATGACGGGGAGCTGATTGGGTTCAGGGTTTGATACTTAGCTTTAGCATGGTTTAAAAAATAAGATATGATCAAGAATATGTTATCCAAACAGCACCTTATGGGAAAAAAATTAGAGCTCATTTTGATACCAAATTTGGTGTAGAGGGTGAGAGGAAGCTTCACATATATAAATTGAAGCAATCTGCATACAAAACTTGAGTCTTAAGAGAAATATTGGCCATAAATAACAAAAAAAAATTTATTCATACCTACCTTTAATCACAGACAATGAACTCTGTTTATTGAAATTAGATTACTTAAATGTATCTTAAAATCAAATTGATACCTATTATTACACAAAAAAATATAATTGAGCCAAATAAAATAATAAACTAAACAAATATCAAAATTCATCCAAAAATGAAAATGAGAATAAGAAGGCATTAAAATGGGGGCAAGGTTCGACTCCTTGTAATAGGTCTATTACAATTGAGTTTTTGCATGTTGATTTGGATTGATTAATGGCATTTAATGCATTATAACTACACTGGCCTTCCTTTACATTAAGATGGCCAACTTTAACCAAAGCCAATATCAGACAGCATCTAAACTTGGATCATCTTGAAATTTAGGTTTAGGGGAATCATACCATAAAAAGACAATCACGGAATGAGAGGGATGGAGAAATCAAACAAATGAGAGATGACCACATGTTGATTATAGCTAGCACTCATATCAATTATAATGGAGGAAGGAAAGACATAATGGTAAAAGAACTACATCAGAAATGAACCTACATGATACCATAGAAAAGGATTTGTTTAACATCTAACTAAACTAGCCAATATGAAACTTATTTAAAACTTAAGGATCTACAAAAACATTTATTAAACTAGGATGATTTCTGAACACTTATGTAATTCCTCCTACACTCAAAAACTTTACAGCGGCTGCTCCAAGTAGATATGATATTTTCTTAGTATTTTTCAAAGAACAATGACGCCTGCAAATATTACTTACAACACAAGTGTTAAACAATGTTGGATTTGTGCATAAATAGCATAGTATTCATTTGTTAAATAGCAAAATAAAATATAACAAAATTTATGTAAATATTTATGACATTTAAATAAAAAATCACAACAATTCATAAATAAAGTCCAAAATAAACTAACTCACATTTTTTGCCCCAGATGTATCTTTGAAAGTTCCATGATTTTCTCCTACAATTATAAAAAAGAAAACATGTTATAAAAGAGATACACAGAACAAATGATAAAATAGCGATATTCTGTCAAAAGAGAAATTAATCAAAGTGCAGTTCTCATTATAAAACAAAAAAGCCTCAAACTATCTTACTGTCTTTTACCTAAAATAGTAGTTCAAAAACATTTCTATTAAAATTCTTAACAAAGACCTCCCCTACCCGTCATGCTTCTTATGATGCATAATAAAGTTTATGGAGAATTTGCATAGTTAAGACTCAAGCTTGACAATATTTAACGCCAACACTAACCAAAAAAGTTCCATACCATGATTATAATAAGTTTAACAAAATTGCAATGATATGATCAAAATTCTAAAATAACTTAATTGTTCCATCATTATCCATGCTTACGAAAGTAAAACTAAATTGGAAATTTGATTTAATCCACTAAAATATTTTATTGGATAGGAAGTTAACTTCAGGAGCATCCATGCCCTTCTTCCGCTTGATTTCTTTCCTCCACCAACAATATAGAAATCCAAATCCAATTTAAGAAATATCCTACCACCGCAAGGCATGCCTTTAACATCAAATAAAACCATATACTAGAGAACCACTTTTGGGTTCCCGGCCATATGATTGTTTGTCATCCTACAAAGAACTATTCCCTTTAAAATCAGCAAACATCATGAAATCATATGTTTTCTACTTACAAATTTATGTGAGAGTATGTATTCCTTAAGTTGCTTCCTTGGAACGTACACTGATCAAAATTTCCACTAAATCTTCATAGAAAATAATATGTAGACTTTAGAATATTTCAATACAAAATTCAAATTTCATTGTACGCATAAAAATAGGCAATGTTTAATTTCATTCGGCAATACATAGCCTATTTCTTCCTATGAGGTGCAGACAATAGTTTTCTCAATTGATAGGTTTTTCCCGTTGGACATAGGATTTCAAACTAGCAAGTCCTTTTACTAGACCTCTAAAGAGTTGTTTCGAAGATGTAAGGGATGAAGTTAACAACTGGAAGCCATTCAAGTGAGGTATGACTGTTGACCTCATTTTTAGTGAGATCTAGTTTTTTTTCTTAGGGTTTAGGGCATAGCCTTAAGATTCTTCCTTTGACTATCTTAGAACCTTAGTAATGGGACCCACCTCATTTTAAAAGTTCAAACCACTTCTTTACTTTTTTTTGGAGTTCTGCATGCGCGGTATTGGCCTCTAGCATTTAGGATGTTGAAACCAACATAAGGAAACTCAAAAGGAGTCACTATAGAACCATTAAGCCCTAAGATTGTCTTATGCACAATTTACATCTTCATGTGCACAAACTTCGCAATTCGGACAGTTGACATGTTAAATATTGCAATTCTCGTCACCTACATTTTTATATGTTGCATAATTAATCGAAACCAAAATTAATTTTCAAAACAGTCGATCGTGAACCAAAATTTCGGTGAAAATTATAATTGATGCGTTTTTTGCCCGATTGTCGGCAAGGTTGTCCGAACGACCCCAAATGACCAAACGGACCGAGACAGCGTGTCCAGAACGTCGAAATTACCGAAAGGACATCCAGTTCGATATGTTTTTGTGTGGGGTCGAATTATGTCCAAATTGGCGAATTTTAAATGAAATGTAAAAAAAAAAGAAAAAAAAGCGTGAAAAAAAATAGAAAACCTAAATCCCTAATTCGCTCACGCCCCGTCCGCCCTCATTCTCCCGTTCGCAACCCAGACGCGACTCGCCGAGCCATCTCCTCTCTTCGCGAAACCCTAGCTGGCCCGAGGTCCCCTCTTCTTCTCCTCGTCGAGCTCCCTTCTCCCTCTCTCGGCTGAAGCTTTCGGTCCCCACTGAAACCCTGGCTAAAAGCTTCCAACCGCTCACTACGCTTCTGCACCACCTACCCTTGTTGCCACGCTCTCCTGTGCCCTTGTCGTCACTCGCCGGTCCTTATCGCGTGCGCCTCACCCTCAGGTAATTGGAAGGTATGTAACTCCTCCCTCTTGGCTATAAAATCGGTTGGAAGGAGAGGGGTTGAGGTTGTTGAATTTTTGGAGAGGAGAAGAGAGGAGCAAGCTTTGTTGATGCTTTGTGTTGCTAGAGCTTTATTGGTTTGTGCTCTTTCTTGTGTGTTCTCTGGGCAGTTAGATAAAGGAGCTTTGAATTTTTACATCACGGTGTAAGTGTTCTTCCCCTTTTTTCCCTTTACTTCTTTATCTGTCTGAAACACACAGATGAATTGCTACTTCATTTACATATGAGCGATGTGCATGTTGAATATCTTAAGGTATGAATTTGCTGCGAGTTTCTTAAATGCAGTTTCCTTGTAGTGTTTTATGTTTTATCGGATAGTTCATATTTTGGAGTATATGATTTGGGGCAAAATGAAGAGTAAGAAATTTTGCAAACATGCCATCCAATTTTTTTTATACTTGAATACCAAATGCCAATCTATGCTCTCCAAATGAATGTGGCTGGAAATATCATTTTTTTATTTATTTAAAAAAAAAAGAAATAAAAAAAAATCCCATGCTCCCATCCCTTCTGTATGCACGCATTTTGTCCCTTAGTGCTAAAAAAAAGAATTTTTCATTAGTTTTCCTTTCCTCTGGCTTGCTTTACCTTCGGCTTCGAGAACTGAGCCATGTGTTCTGGAGCATTATGTGATTACTTTAAGTTTCTCGCGGTCTGGATAAACAGAAGTTGAGATGTATTTGGGAACAAAATTTTCTATCCTCATTTTGTTAACTTCCATGTAAGATGAACTTGATGAGAGTGCTTTTTCTTCATCCCAGAACTTATAGAATGCAGAGATTATGAAATATATTTGCTTCCTATCCACCAAATGTTTCTCAAGCACGTCACTAAGGCCAAGGATTAGCTAAATGCGGATGGATTAATACTAATCAATGGTCCATCCACATGTATGCTGCTCATTTTCATCCATTGGAAAACTGCAGCATACCTAATTTTTATTAGTTTTGCAATTTAATGTTTCTAAGGGTCATTTACATGCATACCAACCAAATTTCCGTACCTTTACATATCTAAAATCTAATAGTTCATTTTTTTCTTTTTTACATCCGTTCCACCTCAGCTAAGCTTGGGAAGGCGCATTTATCTTTTTAAAGGTTAAAATGGTAGTGTTTTTTTTTTTCTCTTTCTGAAGTGTTATGAAAAAGTTTGTGTGGTATAAATGGCAATAAAGAAAAAGAGAGAAAATAAAAATAATAATAATAATAAATAAATTGGTGTTTGATATGTAAATTCATGAGAATTGAGTGGTCTGTATCAATTGCCACCTCATAGGAAGAAATAGGCTGAAATGTACTGCCGAATGAAATTAAACATTGCCTGATGGTTCATATATAGTTATCTAAATGAGAATCAATCTGTAAGGACAGTAGAATTAAGCTCTTCTGCTTTTCCCATGGTTTTGTTAACTTGAAGATATTTACAATAACTACAATTCCTAAAAAAAATAATAACATAAATAATGATTGGAAACATAATTCCATATGGTTTGCCCCGCAGCTAACCAATCCTCCACTTACACTAAAAGTCCTTTATTTGAGATGTGTTCCCTCGGGATCTAGAAAGCTATGGGGGTTTGTTTTGTTTCTGTGATTGGTGAATCTGCACTAGTTATAGCTTGATAGGTTGAGGATGAAGTCTTTTTGGGGAAGCTATATACATACCACATAAAGTCTTATGCATTTACATACCTAACACCTAAACTTTCAAATTTTATTTTATGTCACCTAACCTATGCATGATGGGATACACTTCATCTCTTTAAAATGAAAATGGTGGCATTTTTGATGTAATATGAAAGATTTGAATGGTGTGAATGCAACATTTGGGTTTAGGGATTGGATGTGTAGACACATAAGAATTATTGGCTAGGTATGTAGTCATTGCGTTGATGCGGTCCTCTTGTTGTTTGCTTAAAATGCAGTTTCGAAAGAATACCTTTTAGGTTGATTCGTGGATCGTTGGGCCGCATTTTTTTTGGGTCTTTTCGTCGATTATTTTAGATGCGGTTTTGAGGGTCAATCCACCTTTTATCTCTTCGCTCTTTCAGGTAGATTGTTCCCTCCTCTCTCTCACCTCATTTTTCTTCTTTTTTTTCATTGCTTCTTGGTTTTATTGAGGTGCTTATGTCTAAAACATAAGCGCACATATATAGCCATAATTATATATGAACTATCAGGCAAGACTATAAGTAGGATGGTTTCGGGGTTGAAGGATAAAGATAAAAATGCATCTAGGTATGTGTGAGAAGTTCTAGCACAATCCTGACTCGGTGACTTTGAGAGAATGGGAGATTGACATTACAGCCTCACTAACACTTAATAAAGAGTTACCCCTTGCTTTTACAAACAGTTTGAAGTTTCAATCTAACAACATGACTGACTTATTAACTTTCTGAGGTATGAAAATTTCTTTAAATAAAATTTTTATATAATATATACACACACACACACACACACACACACACACACACACACACACACACACACAAAATTAATTAAAAAATAACTTTTAAATGCATTCCAAATCAATTTTTTTTTTGAAAAATTAAATCCTTCCTGAATATTTTCTGAAAAAGTCACGAGTCAGTCATATGAATCAGGTTAGGAATTACCATTTTCTGTGACTGTTAGGCCGGCAACCTTTTAGTGTTGGATCACACATACATGATGTTGACTGTTTTATTAGGGTCTCAGGGTCTTGATTTCGACCCAAGGTCCTGATTCTGAGTCCACCCCGACCTGAGTGCTTACAGTTTTCTTCAGTGTTATGTGCATTTCCTACAGTTTCTTTGAGTTTTTGTGAGTCAATCTTAGTTTTTCTTTGAGTCTTTCATGAGATGCATTCTCACTTGTTCTTTTATACATAAATGTATGTTTGCACTACCTGCTAAACTCCCTACTATACTTGTTTACTTCTACCTGCAACGTTAATCCCATTTACAGGAGCAGCAGACCTATCAGGTACATAGGTTTTTTTATATTTACTGCATTTTATTTTCTTTATTTGCTGCTTACCTTTACTGCACCTCCTACTGTTTCCTTTATGTGTATTATATCTTTTAGAATAATAGGGCAATAGTGGTTTTATAGGGGATGCCCAGCAACAGACCACCGACCCAACAATTGCATGTACATTTAAACTTAAAATTAAACCTGAAACTGTTACGACGTGGAGCATGAGCTAACACCGTGAGCAGTATGACGAGGATGTACAGAAGAACAACTTCGATAGAGCAAACAGATCTACAACAACAAATATTTTCTTGGATTAAATAACAAGTCATACGATTTCAAGATAGTCTGTCTAGCGCGACATAAATCCTCACCTTATCTTTTAGACATTTGCACAACCAGGTTGTGCAATCTAAGTCATAACTCGCTTTAGGTTTCGAGGTCGTCGTCCTATACGACATAAATCCTCATATCTTTCAGGTCATTTGTATGACTGTGTTATGCAAATATAAGTCATAAATAATAAAATTGACACGATGAAATATCAAATAACATATTCTCGAAATTGAAACCAAACAATATGATAGTTTGGGAAGTCATCAAGGTTTCCCTCAGGATCCGTGACATCTACTTCTCTTTCCTGTGATTCCAGAAATAAATGTTCTCATTTGGTCATTTTCCCACTTGACTTTTCTATGTCCAACCTTGAAAACCTTAAACTTTGAATTCATAAAGATAGTTACCTCTGATTATTATCGAGAATTCTCTTAAGAAATTTCAGTCATTTGAGAGGTAATTAACTACAGAGGCTTATCTTTATAGGGAGATTTAAGAACCCATGTAATATAAATTCTATCTAATTTTTAATATCAGGTGGGGGAATTTGTCGGTCAACATAAAAATGTTCATAGACCAAAACGGATGTCATGAATTTATTAGTTTATTTAATCGAGTTTCGCTACCAAGTAATGTATTTATTCCTCGGAATTGGTGCATTATTTGCGATGTTATGCTCGTTTATTTAAACTATTAATTGAATGAGATCTATCCAATCTCATTTTCAAAAATTAAAATATTATTTTCAAGAAAAATCAAAATATATATATATATATATTCAAAAGAAGCAGAGGAATTTTGACGGCCGACAATGACCTTCATCTCTTGTTGGGCGCTTTATTTTTGTTAACTGGGCACTATCATCGATGAAATTTCTTGATTTTCACAAGCTTTGAAATCAACGGTATTATTTGTTAGTTTAGACAACATCATCAAAACTTTCTTTTATGGCAAATTACACATGGCTCTTTAGCATGGTGGATTTGGAATCCATTTGCTTGTTGAGAAAATTAAGTGAAATGGGGGCACGTGATCTTTCTTATTAGCATGTGGCACTATAAGCATGTATGGAATGCAGGTTTCTATTTTGTTTTGATTGCTTTGCAGAGAGATTATGAAGACATTTTTCTCAAGCCTAAAATATCTCTGAGAAATTGCTCTCAGAGACAATAACTTCTCCGTTGTTGTGCTTAGAATAAGAATGATACAGAAAAAACTCCTATAGAAGTTACAAACACCGGTATGATAGTCATCTAGGACAACAAAATAAGATTCATTGGTGAGACTACTAAGTAATTTTCGAAAAAATGATTTTTACTTTATGTGATATAATGAATGAATCCATTTGGATAAGCATATCCTTTCACATATGCCTACTCGGTCAAAAATCATGTCAAAATTTGATGGATTGAATGCCCAGAGAATCTGAGCAAGTGTCACAAGAACAAAGAGACGGAACTATGACTTATATTTACTTATTCTGAACCAAAATTGGAGTTTAGAAAATCAAGAAGAACTAAGAAGAAGAAAGGCATCAAGCAAAAGAAAAAATACATCTGCTAAGTTTTCATTCGTTTACCCTCTATATAGGTGAGAGTCGAGCAATTACAAGGCAAAGGAAGGTTACAGATGCAGGATAGTTACAAGTGCAAGGAACAATTACACATTTACAAAATAAAATATCCAAAAATATGTAAGGCAAAAAAAAGTTCAATTATGAGCAATCCATTCAACAGCCATTAGGAACAATTCATTCGAAAGTTTTCAACTAGGAGAACTTTTTTTTTTTTGTGATCATTTGAACCTTGCTCATATTTATGATCTCTTGATCACACAATCCTAACTATCTCAAAGACCACTTATCTTTTTCTATTTCCATAAGTATGGAACGCATGTACTGAGCTAATCTTTAAAGATTGCATTTCATATCAAAAAAAGGAGAAACTTATGGTAATCCATGAGATCTAGGAGTATGCTTAAGTAGCACAACGTGTTCACGTTATCCTTTTATCCTCTTAAATATCACAAATGACCTCTAAAAACATATTGTGATCTATTCTAATTATTTTTTCCATGGACCAAGTCCCACTAAGTGGTTGTAGAATACCCGTTATGGTAACTTAATAACTGAAGCTAGAACCGAAGAAATTATTTGTGATTGGTTGACTGGAGCTTACGGTTGTTTCAAGCTTCTTTTCTAGTCAAGCTTCAAGCAACACGGGAGGAAATAACATTTCCATGCTAGCTTTTTTGAGAAACCGAGATTTTAATTTCTTGGCAGGTTCTTCTACTAAGATTGATTGGTCAACTCAAAAATCTTGGAGAGACATGATTTAAGTTTCCTACAAGTAAGGTCATAATAAGTTGGTTCATTAGATGGAGAACATGCATGTTTTTGGAAAACTTCTAATGCTCAAATATAAAAACTAATTAGATAATGTGTGCCACTAATTTTTAAGCATATTAAAATAAATTCAAATTAATTATTATTGGGCTTTCGAGATAGCAAAAATACACTCCATTATAAATATTGTTCAGCAATTTAAGCCTCTCTCTCTCTCTCTCTCTCTCTCTCTCTCTCTCTCTCTCTCTCTTAAATTCTTCTCAATAACTTAGCATAAGATCATGGAATAGGTGAATACTATCTTCATCTTCATGTGCTTCCAATGCATGTGCCATATGTCTTTCTTGAAGGAAATGCTCCAATTGATTGTCAGGCCATCCATGTAATCTTAACTTCAACAAACAAATCAAGAAAAACCACAAGAAACTCTCTAGAATAGTTGACAGAAGCAATCAAAGTATAGCTTTAATAATCATTTGGCAAAGAATAGTTCAGCTATAAACTCCATCAGCTTGCTCGCAATTCAGACAATAGACAGCCCCACACAAGAACTTCAAAAGCGTGAATGCAACCCCACCAACCAACTATCAACAATAGAAATAAATTCGCATAGAATAGTCGCCAACTTTTTCCCTTCGCGATCCTAATTACTCAGCTCGAACTCTTTGGTTTTCAGAATATACGGAATCGATTCCCCGGCAGTTTACAAACTTGTTAATTTCAGGGGATGTAACAAGAACTCACCAGACATCTCGAATGGGCGTCCATGTGGTGGCCTTGTGGCAGAGTCCTGCGCCGATCCAGCTGAGATCGACAAGGACCCGTTGGTCCGAGGCCCAAAAGGGCAACCGTCTTGCTGAGAAGGGAGGATGCCATATCCAGCTCTAGGGTTTTGTTCGGTGTCACGAGAAGGATTTGAAACGTATCTTTGGGCTGCAGTTGGGGAGATGGACATGAACGGAAGGACGGAAGCCGTTTGGAGAGTCGCGGTCGCAGCCAAAGCTACGGCCAAAGAAAACAGGCCTTATTTATATTCGGCCGGGAAAGAAGCTGTGGGTTGCGAGGAAATATTACATCATTACTGAGCACTTAAAAATAAAGTGGTTAGACAATCAAAACATGTCACGACATCTCGCGCGGTAGAGCAAAAGAGACGGCGCAGTAACACGGGGAATATTTCCTCCTGTGTTATTCATGTGTTATTGCACGTTATTCATGAGTTATTGTGTGTTATTCATGTGTTATTGATGTGTTATTGTGTTATTATAACATCAAGAATATTTTCAGGATACAATAACACATGAATTACACACAATAACACTTGAATAACACGGGAAATATTCCCGACAGAGAAAAAAACGGCGCAGTAACACGGGAGAATATTCTCTCCTGTTATTCTTGTCCCGTGTTATTCTTGTGTTATTGTGTGTTATTCAAGTGTTATTCATGTGTTATTGTGTTATTATAACACCAGGACTATAATAACATGCAATAACACATGAATAACACACAATAACACATAAATAACACGGAGAGGAATATTCCCCGTGTTACTGTGCCGTTTTTTTTCTGCGTCGTGCGGGATATCGTGGCGTGATTTTATTGGGTACGCACGTTCCTCTACGTGCGTGGTACTGATATAATATTTTTTCGTGGGTTGCGGTGGCGCACGTTGTCGAGACGAGAAGTTTCAGAGCAGTTGAAAAGACGCTAATGCCATTAAAATATGGAAAATTTAAATACATACCACTTACGTAACTCATACCCAAATTTCAATTTTTTTAAAAATTAAACTGATGTATTTTTTATGTAATATCAAAGATTTTGATGGTATAAATGTATAAACATAAAGTTTTGTTGTTAAATATAAAAATACAAAGCAAATGGGTGGTATTGATGTAAATGCCCTTAAAATATTACCTTAGGTAGTTTATCACTATTTCTTAAAGATTTTGTTGAACCCAATTTTGTCGAAGAATCACCTTAATACAAACATGTGACCGAAAAAGATTCTTGGAGGTTTGATCAAGATTCTGTAATCGAGTTTAAAGAGAAATCCTCTCTCTGTTATACAGTATCCCCTACTTATATGAGTCAACACTATAGGGGAGAACCGTTATGTTATTTCAAAAATAAAAAAGAAAATCCCGCGTAAAGAATTTCAGGTTGGGATCATGTGCGGCTATTACTAAATGATTTCCAACTGACATGAAATTATTATTCACATCGAGATGGCAAGCGTAGCTTCCAATCTGTCTGATCCGTTCGACCCCAACCTTGAATCGCTCGATCACGTACCTTAATTTTGTCAGCGTGGTATTGGGCGCTCATTTTTGGTTGGCCTACATTTTGGGAGGCATTGGCCTATCGATTCGTCGTGCACGAGAGGTCTAAGTTAATCGCTCACGACTGGGGCGTGGCTGCCCGACTTTGGGGTTCACTTGCCTCATGTTTGGTCGTATATTCTTTATTGATTTCTTGGATCGCAAGGCTCGTAGTACTTTTTCCAACTTCTGATGGCCGATTGATTCTATCGTTCGGTTTTTGAGGCCTTTCGTTAGTCAGATCACTTTCTTCCTCGCTTTAGTCGGCTCAATCGGCTATTTTTTGTTGTGCATATTTAGTTCCCTGACTTTTTTATCTTTTCAAACTAAAACTGTGAAAAGAATATTGGAATAATAATTCCTTAAATTTATGTCTTAAAAAAATCATGTTTTACTGTGATTCACATCCTCGCAAGAGAATTTAGAAAGCATGAATGAGAAATAATATTTCGTGTTGTGAATAGGTGAGTGTGTGTGTTGACTTATTCTTTATCTGTAAATTATTTCTTTTTCGCCGGTCTTGTTTTTGCCCAAATTTTGGCTTCTCAATCTTAAAATACTGAGGGAGTTAATTCAAGTGGATTCAAAAGAAATGGAGGCTAGAGGTCTAAAGGCCCTTGAAGTGTATTTTCTGATTGCCCTACCTACATCTGGACCTATCGTTTATGGTTCTTCTCTGAGAAGTAGCATAACTAGTCTTATGAATGTTTGGATGGTATTAGGTGTGATCCTATCTTTGCTTTTGATAGGGAGTCAACCCACGCCGACTTCTATACATATGCTTTCCGACTTGGAGGACAAGGGGATTGCTGGGAAGAATTTCAATACTACCAATGTGGCCCCTAAAAACAAAACACTGATCAACAAACATCAATAGAACCATTGTTTGATCACCACGTGACCCTCTTAAAGGGTGTAGTCAAGATACTATTTGAACTCGTTGCTGCTCTCCATGATCTTGCAAAAACTAAAGTTCTATCCTCACTCGCCAAAAAGCTGGAATCTATGGTGTCTTGGAGCAGGTGGAAACCAAAGTGTCAGGCCTGACTGACCTGGAGGGGGCTCTAAAGTTGAAGGATAATGATTTTATCTTGGAAGAGAAATCAGAGGCCAACTCAGAGGCATTTCTCAATATCCATGAAGACCTTGAAGAAGTGAAGAATATGCTACTTCTCCTTCAACAACAAACGGAGTATCCTTGTGAAGAGCCATTTATCTCTAGTGGGAGATTTGCTCTGAGGAGGCCTCTTCAGGTCAGTTGTATTTCTACAGACAATGGTAGAGATAATTTTCTCAATTGCTTTGAAGATGATTCTTGATTATACATGCATCGAAAGATCTTTACCTGCATCGAAAGAACTTTGGTATGACGATTTAGTTTTCCCTACATTTTGGAAAAATAATTTCATTTGTAATGATTAATATTGATTTTGTATCGGATAGGGATGTTCATATTTTATATTGAATATTGTGTTGTTTGCTGCAATATGGGGATATATTATCAGTGGTGATCATGTCACAAGTGTCTTTCTTTGAAACTTAGAGATACATGATCTAATGTCAGTTAAAGTATTAACTGGATTAATAATTACTTCTGAATCTATCATGTGTTTGAATATTAAAAGTTTTAAATACTCCATTGAGTTATGAGCCTTGCACTCCCACAAATAGTTCAATAAGACTTTCCCATAAATTAATTGAGCTCTAGTTCATTCGTCTGACTTCGTTCTCCTTACTAGAAATTTTGAGCGATAGGGAAGCTTATCGTGGTTCAAGCTAATGTCCTGACAAAAAAATTTCTACAAAGTTTATTTGGCAAGCAAGTGTGGGTTAGCAAAACTAAGTAAACATGGGACGCTCCATCAACAGATCAGTAGAGAACATGTCGATTGGTCTCGGAGGGTGTTGAAGATCCCTATGATTGTGATGATCCCCTTTTGGCCTGATATAGAGTCGTTGACTACTGTTCTTATTGGAGAGGGTATTTTGAGTCATGAGTCAAGTCAAGCAGCAGCAGCTCCTGGGACAGAAGAGTCGTTGAATGTACCTGTCTTTGAAGGGATGTCACAAAGGTGTCTTCAATTTGCTTGAGCAGTTCAATGTGATGCTTTATTTGACCCTTCTTTCTCAAACTTATTTGAGTGCTGATAGGTGATGTGTAAGGAAAATATTCGCACATGATGGTTGATCACAACCTAGTGATAACTGATACGCCTACCTAAAAATTACCATAAAAATTACCAACTTTTTCATATATATTTTATACTCAATTTTAATGATTTTTAATGATATCACACTTTAAAGGAAGTTATTTTGTATTTTTTTTATTCAGTTACAAGAAATGAACTTTTGGAGAAAATGAGGCAAAAATGGTGCAATTTACGAGCAAGAAAGAAAATTTTGACTTGGCACATTTCAATATGTATTTCTATGTTTAATCTACTCTACATTTCTCACATGTTTTTAATGAAATTACACTTTAAAAAAAGTTATTTTCATGCTTATTTTGTAGGAATATCTGTTAAAAGCAAAACACAACTGAAACGGGGTGAAACTAAGCTGAAATGAAGTCAAACGAACCAAAATTATGGTGTTACTGCAGAGTGATGCATGATGCGCCAAAATCCAGAAAACTGGCGCATGATGCACCAGAGGCAAATTTTTACAAATTAAAGCGGTTCGGGACTAATTTTAGGCAAATTTTCAAAGGAATACTTGTTCTAAACGCCCCTTGGAGTGATTCAATGCATCTAGACACTTTGGAAGGTGAGGGAGTGGATTTAGTGTGAGCTTTTTTGCAAATATTTTTCAATATTATAAAATTACACACAGCAGCAATATTACAAAATCTGCATGACAGATATAACAATAAATATGCAATATAATCCCAACAAAAATACCTTTTATGAAAATTATTTATCTTTAAAACTCTTTTTAAACTTCTAAATCCCCTTTAAAATCAACGTAAGTATACATATCGCTCAAGTAATAAAGGGTTCTAATGGAGTCCTAGATACTGATTCCACAGGGAAGTTGGAAAATTCTAAAAGTAAATTATGAAAATTATTTTATAATCTAAAAATACAAAAATAAAAGTAAAGTAAAGTGCGAAGTTTGAAAATTAACCACTCAAGTGAATGCTAACTAAAATGCAGATGTAAGGCTATAGAAATTAAACTAAACTAAATACTAAACTTCCAAAAGTAAAATTATGAAAATTAAACAAAGTTTTTGTTGTGACAAAAAGTTCAAATTTAAGAAAATATCATTCCACTTTTTAATGAGTATATGGATCGTGAAGAAATTAAAATCATTTGAAATTATATATAAAAAATATTTTGTGTCAAATAATAGTAATTTTATTATGTACCCTCTTCCGAGTGAATAAAGAACATATATATGGAGGTATGATTTGATGTGTTTATGATGAATAAAATTTCTTGTTTATTTTATGGATTTAAGTTTTATGCTTTATAAGGTAAATTGATTATATGTCTCGCTCACCTTGCCACTTTTTTTTGTTGTATTTTAACATCATGTTGTGGCTGTCGTTCAAACTATTGAAATGCTTAGTGCCTTTTTGGTGTCAAATAGGAGTCATCTTATTCTTTACCCTCTTCCGAGTACTATAAAGAATATTGACTAATTCAGAGTTTGGTTCTTAATTCCGTGGTTAGACTGGGAGAATGGGGGGGGAGCCGGGCTG